GACACCCACGGAACCCACAGGCATCCACGGGCACCCACGGGCATCCACGGACACCCACGGAACCCACAGGCATCCACGGGCACCCACGGGAACCCACGGGCACCCACGGAATCCACGGGCATCCACGGGCACCCACGGGCATCCACGAAACCCACAGGCATCCACGGGCACCCACGGGCACCCACGGAATCCACGGGCACCCACAGGCACCCACAGACACCCACGGAACCCACAGGCATCTACGGGCACCCGCGGACACCAGAGGTGTGCGGTGAGGACTGGCCTCGTGACCCCTCACAGACACGCAAGATGCCGGGCCAGGGCCCGGGCCTCCTCCCGAAAGGCCGGGACAGCGGCCATGTCAGACCTCTCGGGCCGCCGCAGCCCCGCCCCGCGACTCAGCTCTGCCAGCGGCCGCTCCGCCGGCAACCTGGGGCGGCGCACGTGTGCCCAGTAAACTTTAGAAAAGCGGCAGGGCCGGAATTCAGCAGCCCCTGGAGAACACTTAGTGGGGCGCGCTGTGGCGCCCGTGGCCGGCGGCCCCTTCGGCCCTGACCCTCCGCCCTGTCTGTACAGAGAGAGACGTCGTTCAGTTATTTGACACCAAGCAGAGTGAGCCTGATGTCGTGACGTCTCTTCGAGTTTAGCAGCGCGGACAGCACCGTCCACGGGAAGCAGGCGTGGCGCCCACGGAGCGGCCGGGTCGCTGAGGGCCCGGCAGGGTCGCGGCCGTGTTCCCACGAGCCTTTAATTGGCGACATCTAAAGTGTGGTGGGTGGACGGGAGGGGGTGTGGTGGGTGGACGGGTGGGCGGGTGGACCGTGGGCAGAAGGACAGGTGGACCGGCCAGTGGACGGGCGGTAGACCGGGGGATCAACCCATCTCTCTGTGGGCGCAGGGGCGGAGGCCCCCTGGTGGGCGAGCGGCGTCATGGCAGGCTTTTCTCGGGTCTCAGAACCTCCCTCCGGGCCGGGCCGGGCCCGCAGTGGTGCTGCGTTGCCAGAGGCCTCCAGCCCCGAGCCCAGCGGCCCAAGAAGCCCCTCCTTTGAGCGGCCCCTCCTCCGCTCACACTTCAGCCGTCTGCGGGGCGCCCCCCGCCCCCCCACCCCACTGCTAGAGGGGACCCCGCTGCAGGGCTGCAGGCCCAGAGGCTGCGCTTCAGCCGGCACCTCCGCCTCTGGCCTCCCCACGCGCTGGGGGGCGCCTGCGGGCCTCGCTGTGTCCGAGGGTGTGCCTGGCGGGCAGAGCCGGTGGGCTCCCGGACGCCACGCCTCTGAGGAAGCACCGCTGAGCCACGGCGCCGGCGGCCTTGGTCTTCGTGGAAATGACCAAAGTAAAAGGGCTTTAGGGTCCGGTTGGAAATGCACACCGACGGGCTTGAACACAGAGCCTGCAGGCTAGGGCTGCCCTACACGTCACAGCGAGGGGCACCCCGGCACCCGCGGGCATCCACAGGCACCCATGGAACCCACGGGCACCCACGGAATCCACAGGCACCCACGGGCACCCACGGAATCCACAGGCATCCACAGGCACCCACGGGCATCCACGGACACCCACGAAACCCACAGGCATCCACAGGCATCCACGGACACCCACGGAACCCACAGGCATCCACGGGCATCCACGGACACCCACGGAACCCACAGGCATCCACGGGCATCCACGGACACCC